GGAGTCCGCCATTGCCGATGGCGCCACCCCGGAAGTCCCCAATGGCTCATTTTTCAATACAAATTCATTCACTCTCAAATTTTATAGCAAATTTCAGGTGGTCGCTTGTAATTAGGTTGCTAATTATAATTAACCATCATTCATTAATGTTGCCTCCACTTATTTTTGGGAATTCACCACAGAAACCATTTCTTATCTATCATATACAGTGGTACCTCGGGTTAAGAACTTAATTCGTTCCAGAAGTCCGTTCTTAACCTGAAACTATTCTTAACCTGAAGAACCACTTTAGCTAATGGGGCCTCCTGCTGCTGCCGCACTGCTGGAGCACGATTTCTGTTCTCATCCTGAAGCAAAGTTCTTAACCCGAGGTACTGTTTTTGGGTAGCGGAGTCTGTAACCTGAAGCGTATGTAACCCGAGGTACACTGTATTACTGAAAACAGGAAGGGGCCATTTCCAAGATATCAAAATTTGTGAAAAGCAATTTTGGGATATATATATATTAAAAGGATTGTATCAACAAAGACTGGCTCTTTTTCCTTAGAGAGGAGCCTATAATTTGCCCCAAAATAAGAACTGACAATTAGAAATGGCAAGTGACCACAAACCATGGGGACACCTAATTATATCCCCTGTGTCCTACATGTCACCCCTTGGAAAAGGGGTGTGACGCAAAACTCAGCCTCAAGGCCACTAGTTCCGTGGAACCATTTATGTGTCTAAGCCACTGCATACCGCCCATGCAGAGGGATTTCCATTCCAATGATCTCCACAGATGTTTAGAGCCTTTTGACACAATCACCCTACCCCTCAAATGCCAGAAGCACATTTTAACCATTGCACAATAGTCCTGGGGAAGCAATGTGACCCACCAGCCTGATTGCTAAAGTTTGTCTAGCTTGCTGTAACAGGCTTCCAATTTCTAAGAGTGCCCAGAACTTTACTTTGAGGTCACATTCTAAGTTTATAGATATTTCTCTTCTTCACTGCAAAAGATCATCCATCCCCATCCTAGTTTCTATGTGTTGCTTAAATCAGCCTAGAAAGTATTGTGAATATTAGACAAATTTCCTCGTTCCTGCCAAAGGATCCCATGGAGGGTGTCAAGTAACCACTGCCCTTTCTGGTTCTACCTGATCACTCCACAGTTTAGGGTAAGTTGCTGTGGGCAGATTTTTCAATTAGGACCTCCCTCCTTCTTGCTAACTAGAGTCAAGTGCAAAGTGGTGGTTTGAGGGGGAGGAGCCAGTTACTTACTGCACCCCATGAGGCATATCCCAAGATAACTGCATAAAACCACACACACAGCCAAATCTCTGTGTGAGTTACCACTAGGGTTTCTAATAGCATAATGTATCTGGGGAAGAGTTTTTGTTGTGTGTCTCCTAAAGTTAAGCAACTAGAAGTCAGAAATTTTTGGTAGTCTGCTCAAAATCATCTAGCGATGTAACATCTTGGTTCAAAGTACACTTCATTTGCAGGGAAACAAAGGAATTCTTAAATTAGCATAGTTTCTCTTCTCTGATGGGCTTTTCACAATTCTCTTCTCATAAAACTTCTGGGAAAGCTTGTAGTTAACTTTTGGTCCAAATCACTGTGGGTGACCTACTCCTTAAAAAACCAGGACTCTGGCTTCGCATATGTTGACCCAGCTTGTGTCCTATGTGTTGCTATAATAATGGAATCGACTTCTTTATTCTGCTTCATTTGTTCTCTCAGAGAACACGTACTGGCATATTTGCCTCTGCAAACTTTATAAAATGATGTGATAAGAATCTGGAACAAACAAACTTCACTTAACACTGTGCAACTGATCTCAACACGGTTGCTGCTGCCCTGCATTTCAGATCCCTTCTGGTGTTCCCTAGAACTGCTTCCTTCTATGGACCTGCTCATGAGACACTTTGGTTTCTAATATCAATAAAGCTGAAGCAGATGAGAGCTGATGGCCTGCATTTGATGTCCCAAACATGGCTCTGAAAAATGGATGCTTAAAAAAATCTAGTACCCTATAATTACAGATACACGTCCCTTGCTTCATTCTACCGTTTGATAACACAGTTGATCTTTGTTTATTTTTGTTTGCATCTCACATTATATTGATTTCCAAAACTAAACTTTTTATATTAAAAAAATGTATTATTGTGCTGATGTCTTTAAGCCAAGGATAGAGAAGCTGTGGCCGTCCAAGTATTACTGGACTCCCATGAGCCCCAACCAGCACAGTCAGTCATCGGGGATGATGGTTGCAGTCTAGCAATATGTGGGGAACCCCAGGTTCTCTATCCCTAATTTAAGTCATTTGTGCCAACCTATGTTTAAATGCTCCATTATAAACACTTCTGGCACCCAGATTTTCATAGGAAAACTGAGGCACCTCCAAATGCCTAAAGGCAGTTAGTGTTAATTTTAAAATAAGATGCCAGTATAACTGGTTCCTTATCTTTTGCTGTGCACACCTTTCAGCAAAAGGACATGAGGGTTTTCTCTTGGGTTAGCATCAGTAGCTAATCTCTCATTATGTCACCGATAGCATACAATGGATGATTGTGAAATATTAATAATAATAATCTGCAGTGGGAAATCTAGCAACCAAATCTCAAAACTCCTGTTTAAGAATGGCCAGCACTGCTTCACTTTCAAGATCTTGCATACAAATCACCTTATTTTGAATCTTCCTGGTTTGGGAATCAGAGGCTGCAGCTCAGCATTATTCTCGTCCCTCCTTTTTCCAGGCCTAAAGATACTTCCCATGGAAAGGGACTGAAGGAAGAACTGTGGCTCTTACTGCTGATTTCTTTGGCCATATTTAGAAAGGACTCTGTCCATTTCCTTGAGGCTGACTGTTTGGTTGTACTTTAATAAGCTGGATCACCTGCGTGGAAAGTACAGGGAAGCGCTGGGGTCAGAGGAAGGCTGAGGACAGCAAATCCTGACTTTGGTATAGATGAAGTCTTCTGACGGTGGAACTAATTTGCTCATGTTCCCCTGTGGGCTGCCAAAGTAAAATTTGGACAACAGCTTCAGTATTCCATTCTGAAAGGTAGCTGGTTAAATGCGTTGGGGCTGAAGAAGAAAAAGTCAGCGTTTCTAAGTGCCTAAAAAGGTTTGCTGCCCCACCCCTTCAGACAGTGCTGAACAGAAAGGGGGAAGAAAATATCCCGGACTAGGGATGGATCGAGCCACCAATTTCAGATACTTCTGTTTCTTATTTTTCCAATCTTAAATTCAGGTCTCCTCATTTCTGAAGCAATCCACAATTTTTAAAAATCATTATGAAGATTCGCCAGCTTTTTAGTGTGAATTTTTGCTAGAAATATGTTTTCGTCTGCAGTTTTGAATAATGTACATATTTTTGCAAGCAATTTCTCCTAATAAAATCTATTTCTGTATGTTATTTCACCAATGTATTCATTTTTATGCAGACTTTTACCTTATACAAGCATCAGTTCACGGAGAAATGCATTGCAAAATTTGAAATTGAAAGTCTGAATTTCGAAGGACGGCTGTGTTTCAGTTCTCATATTGCTTCGTTAAGCGCAAATTTGATAGATTTGCCTTTAAATGTGAACTGAACCCATTTTCCTCCCATCCCTACCCCAGACTGAATCTGCAGCAGTAAAACCTCTAACCCAGCAGCTGGATACATCACCTTATAGTCTAGGGTTCCCGCAAGTGTGACCACGAACCTCATTGCAGTCTCCTTGGGAAAACAGCAAACTTTGGCAGGCTTTTTTTCTCTTCATAGACCGTGAGAAAGCTTGCAGCAGAGTCACGTCGGGGATACTGGCCTGCCCTGGCCAAGTATGGCACAGATTAAGCAATGTGGCTTTGCTTTTGAGCTGTTTTCCCAGAAGCAAAATACAGAAGTCTGGAAGTGGGTATGAAACAACAAAACAAGAAGCATCGTGTTTACGTGTTATACTAGACAAAAAGGCCAGAACAGTAGTTCACAGAGAAATTCTGTGTGTGCATGAGGTGAAGTAATGTCTTTCACATTTTGTGAAGGCTAACCCCCTACTCTTCAACTTAAGTTAAGGGTTGCCACGGCTACTGCTACCTGCATACCTGACCAACAGAACTACAATCTCACTACAGTGGTACCTCTGGTTAAGAACTTAATTCATTCCAGAGGTCTGTTCTTAACCTGAGGTACCACTTTAGCTAATGGGGCCTCCTGCTGCCATCGCGCCATTTCTATTCTCATCCTGAAGTAAAGTTCTTAACCCAAGGTACTATTTTCGGGTTAGCGGAGTCCGTAACCTGAAGCGTTTGTAACCCGAAGCGTTTGTAACCCGAGGTACCACTGTACAATGGTACCTCAGTTTAAGAACAGCCCTGTTTACGAACTATTTGGTTTACAAACTCCCCAAAACCGGAAGTAGTGTCCCAGTTTGCAAACTTTACCTCGGTCTAAGAATGGAAGCCGAACAGTGGAAGGGCACCAACGGCGGAAGGCCTCATTAGGGAAAGCGCACCTTGGTTTAAGAACGGTTTCAGTTTAAGAATAGACTTCCAGAATGGATTAAGTTCATAAACCGAGGTACCACGGTACTGAGATACAGAAACATGTCAACTCATCCATACTAGCAGTCATTCCTTGAGGTTAGCTGTTCATCTGAATCCACCCATGGTCTATCAAGGCTTCTAAAGAGAAAAGCTGGGGCAAGGTAGTATTTCTGCCCCCCCCCCCAAGATATATCCCAACGTGTAATATGGGACAATGCAGTACCTCCCCTAGACATCATCTTCATTGCCATCATGTTTGCCATGCAAATTGTTGTGTGATGTAGGTCACCATCATATATATTATTTAAGATCTATGATGACTTAGAGGCTTAAACCAAGGGCCTGAGGATCAGACCAATGCACTGGAAATTACTGAGGTTTTGGAAGAATGAGGATTGTCTCTGCATGCCACATGATGGTCAAGGTGAAAATACCGATTTAGAAGCAGCCCTAGAGGGTCTTTCTTTCTTTCTTTTTTTCTTTCTTTTAAAATTACATTTATTTGTCAAAGACACCCATTGTGAACCTCATGGCTGATGAGGGGAGATTGAATCTGCATCTCCCCAGCCCTAGTATGACACTCTCTCTATAGCCACTACACCACAGTAGCCTCCTGGTTAGGTGAGACAGTTTTTAGTTTCAGAATCTTGCAGTTTTGAACTAGAGTTATAAGCCAACTGAATAAATGTTATGCAGTTAAATCTATTAAAGTTTGCATAAAGTTGTATCTGGGTAAAAAACAGTGGATAGAACCCAAGATAGTGCTGAGGGGAACATTGCGTCAGCACAAGGATTTCTGCTTGCGCAGTAGAATGTTCTCCCACTCTCGTCCCCAAACACCACACCTAAATCTCTTTAGGGGTTCCCCTTGGAGTAGATTTGAGGATGTTATGGAGCACACATGAGGAAAAGAGAGAGGGGAAACCCTGTTGTGCAAGTGGAAATCCGTCTCTGATGGGACTTCTTAGCAGAATACCATCCAATATTTCTGAGGCAAAGAAGCATACTTCCTCCCCCTACCATTCTTTAGATAATACACACACGTATTGAAGGCAGCATCATTGTAGAAGAGGCATTCCCTCTTATGTGAGAGAAAAGGGGCGTGCCTTTTCCTTATCTGCAGTTTTCATAAGTATTTGTATGGGTGACATATTTCGAAAAGCCTGCTGTCTGATTAAACAGGGGGCACCTTTTAGTTGATTAAATGGTTTTAATAACTGAAAAAGTGGCAACCTTACATTGGACCTGTCTGCCATGGTTATCCACCCTTATGCCTCTATAAACACACCAGAATAATCACAACTTTCTAAAATGTCCCCCCTTCTCCACATATTGCTGCCAAGTTGGATGTTTCTCATTGCTCTGAGGCTGCAGGAACACAGGAAAGATATTAAAAGTCTAAGGGATGGAATTTTACATTATCAAATGTGGTGTGTAAGGATGGCAACAGTTGTCACTTTGGATTCCTTTTGGCTGCTTGTTGGGGAGAAAACGACACACTGCTCAGTACATCCATTAAAGCACCTTTAAATCCCGTTGATTTCAACAGATGAGTTAATTATGTGCATAATTCTCTTATGTGGCACAAAAGTGCTTAACATCAGCTGGATTGTGTCCAAAGTGTTTAACAATCCCAAGATTGTGCAGCTTTAAGATTATCAGATGTCTCTAAGGGCCAGCTCACATTATACAGCAGTAAATTAAGGTTTGCCACTCTATGATACATGCAGTAGGGAGCCATAGGCAATCCTGGGTCCCTGGCATGTCTATGATTTACACATTACTTTTTTAGATGTCCACATAAACATTTTACAGGTACTTCTTAAAAGGTAAAAATTTAGTGACTCTCATAATAAAATATCCAAGTTCTACTACACTATCACTGCTGTTGCCTGTTTCAGAATACTAAAGCTCTATAAAACTGTGGAACAGATGCCACAACTCCACAGTACCCCTTATATTTGAAATTTTGCACTGGCAACTCTACATGGGCCCCTGATCTCTTGCATTCAGAACAGTGGACTCCCCGTTGGTCTAAACAACAGCTTTCAGATTTAAATATTTGATTTAGAGCCCTTCCTTTCCCTTTCCTCTCGCCAAAAAATGAGAAAACAAGTCCTGTTATTTTTCTCCTAATCCCCTTTCATGCACATCCCTCTGGTGGGAGTGGGGGGGGCACCTTTAATTATGGGATCTCTATTTTTCTTTGTCTCTGGACAAGAGTGGGAGGAGGAAGAAATGTTGCCTTTCTTTGCTCTACACAGTAATTTTGACCAGGTCTCCCGATGTGGAAATAATGGGTGGCAATTATTTATCTTCCTCCCCTGGGTAGTCATTTTGTGCATAATTTCCCATTTTCTCATCTGAATTTACACTTGAAATAATTACTGTAGACTGCCTGAAACAACTGTGGATCAGTGATCATCAAGTTTCAAGTGATATGATGACCTGAAGCCAAATAATCTCTCAGTATCCCATCAGATAATATCAACAATATGAAGGACTTCTGTTTGCTTCACTATGTCTTTGTTAAGTCCCTTCCAAAGAACATTAGCAAGTGCATGAAATAAAGACCCAGAATATCTGCCTATTAGGTGTAATGGTGCAGAATGGAACATCAGATGAAGAACAACAGCAAAGCCCTTAACACCTCTGGGTTGGCAGCTTTCTTTTTTACTACAATTGCTTCATTTCTGGACCAAAAGGTCTTCAGCTCTGTTCCCCACAAGACACACTGTATTTTATGTGCTGCCTATAGACACCTGAACTCTTTCTTGAAGCAAGTTCTTAATGGAGGCACAGTTACGGTTATCCATTAGCATAAATGGCATCTATTGTGGGGAACTGAAAAGAGAATGATCAGCCTGGCCCTTGTGTTTGAAAGTACAAGATCATAAAAATAAAGCAGCAGCTATTTCTAGCACTGTGCTGAAATCTGCCCTCCAGTTTCTCAAAAGTTTTCTTCCTCTGTGGGGGAAAAAAGAGCTTCAACTTCATTTCTTTATTTGCTCCATTCTTAGGGCATTTGAGAATTTCTTTAGAATTTTGGTCAGTGCAGGGCTTTGAGCTTACAATATTGTTGTGAGGTGGTTGAGGGCACGAAGCATACCTTTTTTTTCTTTCGAGTAAACATTTCTCTAGCTCTCTGCAATCTTCCTGGCTGCCCAAATTTCTGAGTGTTTTCCACTGGACTTTGACTGAAGCATTCCCAAAGGCTGCAGAGTGCAGCTCACTGGTGAGGAGGAAGGAAGGAACTCACAAACACCCATTGACCACCTTAAAAATAAGGTTAGCACATCCAAAACGCTGAATCTCACCTGATGAGAATTTCACCAATATTTTCTCTCCCCTTTGATAATTTCTGAATGCAATTTCTTTTCTCATTAATTGATAGAGAAAGGTTGGATAGATTTTCAGCATGTTGTTGTTGTTGTTTAGTCGTTTAGTTGTGCCCGACTCTTCGTGACCCCATGGACCAGAGCACGCCAGGCACTCCTGTCTTCCACTGCCTCCCGCAGTTTGGTCAAACTCATGCTGGTAGCTTCGAGAACACTATCCAACCATATTGTCCTCTGTCGTCCCCTTCTCCTTGTGCCCTCCATCTTTCCCAACATCAGGGTCTTTTCCAGGGAGTCTTCTCTTCTCATGAGGTGGCCAAAGTATTGGAGCCTCAGCTTCAGGATCTGTCCTTCCAGTGAGCACTCAGGGCTGAGTTCCTTAAGAATGGATAGGTTTGTTCTTCTTGCAGTCCATGGGACTCTCAAGAGTCTCCTCCAGCACCATAATTCAAAAGCATCAATTCTTTGGCGATCAGCCTTCTTTATGGTCCAGCTCTCACTTCCATATATCACTACTGGGAAAACCATAGCTTTTACTATACTACTTTTAAAGATGCTGTCTAGGTTTGTCATTTTCAGCATAGCACTGGTTATTCCCCTCCTTAGCTGGGAATCATATATGAAAATAGAAAACTTGGGGTAAATTATCTTCTAACAGCTGCAGCATCATCTCGACAAGGGCACTTCTGGAGAAGCATTTGACCATCTTTTGCCTGAGCTTCCATTGTGAAAGAAAGTTGAGCAACTGGGCTGCCTCCTGCCCATACAGATCACCCTTCCTGGTAAACACTGCTCTTAAGGCCTTTTCTTGTTTACAGCACATGTAGACTGCTGTGGAGCACATATGCTTCCACTTTATTCCCCCACAACCCAACCCATGCCTCAGTTATCATGCCCGACATACCTTTGCACAGACTGCACCATTTGGGAAGGAATGGTGCAAGCTCTGAAAACACTAACCAAGGCACTTTTCAAAGGTTGTGGGATTTCAAATAAATCAAACCCATCTTTTTTCTGACATTCACAGAGCAGCTTTCCCCACAAACCTAATCCCTGATGTTCCAGTTCCCATCAGATGATGAACAAGCTAAACAGAGACCATGGACACTATGACAGGGACTCTGCCAGGGCCTGCCTTTTAACTTCCAAGGTTGTGGAAGGTGAAAGGTTCAACCTCAACACTGTACTTTAATAATATAATTAAAAAGAAGGAATTATATGAAGACCAATCAGAAGCTAATCAAGCATCAACAAAGCCATTGTCAAATGGCTGATATTCCTTCCATGTTAATAACTTAAATATGGTGGCATCAGAAATAAACTACAGCTGTAGGTCAGGAGCTGCTAACACTAGAACAGCTGTCCTCTTGGTCTATGCCTTTTCCTGCCTTCCTAATGTTTAGCTGAAATCCCTTTTCTAGTAATTTGAACCTATTGGGTTTGGGTCCTTTGCTCCATCATTTTATGTAATTTAAATATGCATAAACTGCACATTTCATATAAAACATCAGGAGATGTTATACAATCTAAAAGCGCAGTAACTTACATGCTACTTTTAACTTATTCTCTAGTTTTGAAAACTGTACTGAAAACTGACATTCTAAGTTTGCTCTTGTTTAAAATGAAACTAGGTTTTTAACGGGTTTTAAACTGAACTAAAAGCTGAAATATTTAATTTAGGCTGAGGCCAGTGCTTTTTATTTATTTATTTATTTTGTAAGAGAGAGATCATATATTGATAAAAGTGTTGTGGGTGCCAACACAAAATGGCTGTTCTGGGCAGCAGAGAAAGATCTGCTGGTTCTCTGTACCAGCCCTGATTGAGGCCTGCTCTAACATGTAGTTTGTGTGCTGCCTTTTATGACCTAAAACTAAATCCTACACTAAGCTTATATTTTTTCAATTTCAAGGTGACTTTTCCATTAACTAGGTCTTTATTGTCTACATCTTAGTTTCTTTATCCTCTCTCCGAAGATGGCATTTAATCTGTTTCTGGATGTGGTTTACTGTGGCCCCGCCCCCCAAGGCTGCCCTGCTAAGGTAACACAGAAAGCTACATTTCTACATCAGCCTTTGCCAACCCAGTGCCCTCTGGATGCGTTGGACTGCAATGCCAAGGTTGCAGATTCAATCCCCGTATGAAACAGCTGCATATTCCTGCACTACAGGGGGCTAGACTAGATGATCCTCAAGGTCCCTTCCAACTCTACAATTCTGTGTTTCAATGTGTTATAAAACTCCTATTAGCATCCAGAGGGCACAAGATTGGTGAGGGCTAAAACCCCACAGTTTTAGCTAACGCTTTAATAAATAAATTGACGATACCCTCTCCAAGCACAGTTGCCCAACTCCTTTGTTATATTGAGACTTTACTACTGGGACCAATACATTTCCTCACAGGTCACTATTGTGGATGTGGTCTGTCCTTGGCCACATAACAGAATGACCTTTCTGCACTTTGGAATGGATTCACTTAGATCTCAAGCTGTCCCAAGCCAGATGGGCGGCATGGATCCCCTCCCTTTCCCTGGAGATCTTGATCCAGTCCCTGACCTGAAGGTTGTGTTTGGCAGCAATCCCTGGTGTGTAGCAAGCAGAAGACAAAGGGCAGCATTCATGCTTTGCCAGCCAGCAAGGATGACCAATGAAGTCATATTGGTACAGAAAGTGTTTTGTTCTGCTGGCCTCTGCGCCGGTGTGACTCTGCGATCGGGTGACCTGACGCTGCCCTGGGCTCAGTGCTGCCAGCGCCAGACTTAGGGAGACAACGTGATGAGTCACACTTTCATCTGATTTTTAAACTGACATCTAGACTCAGAAGTCAAAACAAGGGAAGCCTCATGATATCATCCCTCTGTGCAAAGTGCCTTTGAGGGTTACTCTCATCTGTTTGAAGCCCACTTGGTTGCAGAACTGCGTGTTTCATCTGACAGGGACCTTATGGCAGAGTTCTCATTCCTTGCCAATGGTCACTGAACAAGCCTTTGCCCACAATCACACCACCAACTGCCACACTTGTTGGGATTAGGGAAACCTTCTCTACTTGCTGCCTGCCCATCCTTGGTTAAAGGATTTGGGGGGAGTGGCTTCTGTCCGACACCCAGACAGGGGCTAGGGCCATACCACTCCTCAAACGGGAACCCCTCAGGGGGTACTCCTATTTGATGTAGGTCATAGGACTCCCCCTAATGGTAGCTTGCCCTTAGATGAACTCTCAGCAGATTGGATGCAGAGATATCATCTGATATTGCCTGGCTTCACCCAGTGCCTATGCCAAACCGCTCACATCTGTAACCAATAAAAGTTGTGGCCTATTCGATCCCATAAAACCACATGCTGTTGTCTTGTCTGGTTATTCACCCTTAGGGAACTGCGGGGTCACGGGGTCTTGGCACGCAATGGTGGATTCCACATTAAGGGTCATTAGGAAAGGGACGCTTAGAATATAGTGTTCACTTCTGGTCGCTACACCTGACAAAGGAAATTGCAGAGCTGGAAAAGGTGCAGCAAGGGGAAACCCAAATGTCCAAGTGACTAGAGAAACTCTGAGGAAGGACTACAATGTTTGGGGCTTTTTTAGTTTAGACAAAAGGCAAGTAATGGTGGGCATGATGGAGGTCTAGAAAACTATGCCTGCTGTGGAGAAAAGGGAGAAAGGTAAGTTTTTCTCTCTCTTATAAAACTAGATCTCAGGTTCATCCAATGAAGCTGAATGCTGGGAGAGCCAGGATGGACCAAAGGAGACACTTCTTCACAAAGCACATGGTTAAGCTATGGAACTCCCTGCCACAAGATACAGCAATGACCCCCAACTTGGATGGCTTAAAAAGGGGATTATATAAATTCATAGAAGATAAAATTAGCAATGCCTACTAGCAATGATGGCACCGTTACCTCCAAGCAATGAGGCAGAATGCCTCTGAATACTAGTTGCTGGGATCACAAGTGGAAGAAGGCAATTGTGCTCATGTCCTGCTTGTGGGCACCTGGTTGGCTACTGCGAGAAGGAGAGGAGGATGTGGGACTAGAAGGGTCTTTGGTGTGATCCAGAGCAGGAGAGAGGGATTTCCCCATCAGCCTTGACCTCAACGTCAAGGGAAATAAGCCAGAAAATACCAACCAACCTCCAGACAGTAATGCTAACCAGTTCATGTAATGATGTTGTGGGTGGACGGTGCCAGGGTGAAAGGGTGTGTGTTTGGGTGTGGGAGTGTGACAGCATGAAAAGGAAGTTCTATGCTATTTCAGAGAGTTCTTCTGGAAAGACAGCATAACTGAGCCTGCCCCTTCCGCTTCCTACATAACAACTTAATCCTCAGGCAGGAGCCACATGGAGGGGAAAATGGCAGGATGGTTCTTTATCCAGTATGTCGGTAGAAAGTTTGCCACTGGGCCCTGGCTTTAATGAGGATTGACTAGATGGTGCAAAACAGCAGCAATCTGCTTCTGAACTAGGGAAAGCTGTTCCTAATTGGTACAGGCCTTAGGCTATTAGCCCTAGGGACCCCCTCCCTCAACTAATTGGATCATTTGCATATTTCTTCATAACAAGGCTTTGGGGGAAGGATTTCAAAGGCAAAGACTTGTGTGTGTGTGTATACACACACAGACACACACACTTTCCAAAGTAAGGCCTCTCACACAAAGTGTCATCACTACCATTAGGTGGCAGGAAGCAGTCACAGCTTCAGCAATTTGGGACTCATTCACATCTGAACCCAAGCATTAAGCATCCCCTATACAGGAAGCACATAGTTGTAGGCGAATGTGTGGAATGCATGTGCAGATTGCGGTTCGGATCCAGACTTAGTCCTATGTGCAATAGACTACTGCAATTAATGGCACTTAATTTCCTCTTAATTCAAGTCTCATTGATCTCACTGTGTTAAATCTAAGCACAACTAAAATCTGTGACATGTAACAACTGGGCACATATTGGGCCAAACACACTTCCCAATTATGTGTTCTGTCTGAAATAGACACAGGAATGCTCATCACACAATATAAACGGCTTAGGACCTCAATACCTGAAGGACTGCCTCTCTTCATATGAACCTACCTAGACACGTAAGAGGATGGACGCCTCTGGGTACGTATTATACTTGAGGTGGGAAGCTACAAACGTAGGCTCAATTCAGATGGAACATCAAACCATGGTTTATCATAAGAGCAATATGCAGCAAGTCTTAGACTTGCATGTTCCCTCCTTCCCACCACTTTATGCTCAAGGGAAGGAAATTAAAAGTTTCCACAAACCACAGGTTCTCAAACCTTGTCCTTGTCTGATCTAGGAATAACAAGCCATGGTTGGTTGTTACATCTGAATCGAGCTGTAGTATTCAGAAGGAGGTAAAAGTCAACACGTATATTTAGGAAGGCTGGAATCCCTCAAACTGGAATTCATCAAATTGCCCTACAGCTAGCCCAAAAGTAAAGACTTCAAATGTAATCCCCACTAGTAGACCTCCTGCACTATTTCCAGCTGGAGTGGAATAGTTGACCTTGGAGGCCTTCCCTCCCTGCCCCACCCAGTTACTGGCCTAGGGTGTCCCCCTCTCCCCTGCAGACATCAGGTTAAGAATATACCTATCTCTAATAAGTTAATGATGTCACTTCTCTCCTATGACTATCCAGGTGTCACAGGGACGCAACTCATTTCTGTAGATTTCCATTAAGGAGGCATTGTCTCTTCCCAAAATGACAAGAGGGACAAAATTTGTGCACTGTGTTATTTTTTAAAAGGCTGTTTTAGGTTACAATAAAACTTGACAGAAACTGAAATTAAATATACAGTACTCTGTTTTGATTATGCCTCTGTTCAAACCAACCCAAACACCCCAGCTGTCCTCTCTGCCTTGCAAGAGCTATCTCTTGTTGCAACCCAGGAATGAATACTCAGCCTTGAGGGGGATGGCTAAGTGCCACTATTTTTATTGCTGTTTTAAAGGGCAGAAGCAGGAGTTAAAAGTTTCCCATTCAAGTCTCAAAACTACCTCAGGTCACACAAAGAAGCCAGCTAAACACAACTGATGTTTCCTGAAGGAGAAAAGCTCTCTGAATTGACAACCTAGCATTTTTCTCTCCAAACCACACTGCGACAGCCTCTGAGCTCCATTCAGTCCTTGTGCTAGCGACAAAAATTGAACAGTCAAGTCAACATCATAAAAGTACTTATGTTCAATAGTGATTAGGATTTAGAAAAACAAAGCTTGCACCAGGGGGTCATCCCATATAATATTCCAGCATAGCCGCTCCATTTCTGACTTCTTGGCTCTGCCTATGAAAGAGGATTTGTGCAAACTTTTAAAATAAAATGCTAAATTCAGACCATGCTGGATTAGAAAAACAATGAACAGAACAGAACAGAGCTGGCTACCTTAGTGTGTGTGTGTTTTGCTATTTAAAGCGTCAAAAGCCCCTCTTTGATCTTCTAAATCCTCGCTGTTAAGACACTGCAGCCAGGGACTGGGAACCTGTGGCCCTCCAGATGTGGCTGGACTCCAGTTCCCACCAGCCCCAGCCATCATGGCAAATGGTCAAGAATAATGGGATCTATAGTCCCAGCATCATCCAGAGAGCTGCAGGTTCCCCTTCCCTGCATTACAGTCATGTCTGCTTGGTCTCTCAAAACGAGAAGCAACCGGGGGCAAGTCAGACAATTACCCTGACTCAGACAAACTGCTCTAAAATGTTGGAAGCAACTTTTCATGTCAGGGTTCAGTGAGAAATAAAGAAAACTGCTGCTGGTTTGTGATTGCTGTCTTTGGCCAGTGCTATTGGCAGCCCTTCCAGTACTAAGATGAGAAAGGAAGTCGGAGCATGGTGACTCCCAATACAGTGGAACCTCGGGTTACGAACTTAATTCGTTCTGGAGGTCCGTTCTTAACCCGAAACCGTTCTTAACCTGAGGCGTGCTTTCGCTAATGGGGCCTCCCACTGCTGCCGCCGCACAATTTCCATTCTCATCCTTGGGCAAAGTTCTCAGCCCAAGGTACTACTTCTGGGTTAGCGGAGTTTGTAACCCGAAGTGTTTGTAACCTGAAGTGTTTGTAACCAGTGTACTGGCTTTATCTATTGATGACAGTCTTTAAGCAAGGGACCAACAAATTGACATGTCTGCATGCTAGATGCTTACCAGCCAGACACCAGCTTTGCTAACCAGCCCTGGGGAACAGAGCCAGTCATACAAAACCAGTGACAACAGCACAAAATCACATGGCAACAGGTTCCTTTTCTACTAAGCACGGCATATTTTCATTTCAAGGTTGTAGCTACCATTTGTAGAAGCATCCTTATTCAGATTAGAAATTGTCCATGCAAGCAAGATTTAAAGTTACACAATAATGTTCAAAATGTGATGGAGAGAAATAAATGAAACCTAACAACCAGGTGTCCAGGTTTTCATTGTTCTAGCATAACGGTAAAGGTAAAGGTAAAGGACCCCTGGATGGTTAAATCCAGTCAAAGGTGACTATGGGGTGTGGAGCTGATCTCACTTTTCAGGCCGAGGGAGCCGGCGTTTGTTCACAGACAGCTTTCCAGGTCATGCGGCCAGTGTGACTAAACTGCTTCTGGCGCAACAGGACACTGTGACGAGTGCCAGAGTGCACGGAAACGCCATTTACCTTTCCGCTGCAATGGTACCTATTTATCTACTCGCACTGGCATGCTTTTCAACTGCTAGGTTGGCAGGAGCTGGGACAGAGCAACAGGAGCTAACCCCATCGTGTATTGTTCCAGCATATGCCCAACTCAGTACATAGTTGCTCCTCCATGGCAAAGCTGCCAAATGTGGATCAAGTAATAGAGTTGGAGCAATCCCACAACCACTTTAGCGCATAAGAGTTTTGCTTGGCACTGTTCCATTCAACCCATATCCACAGTGTACTAACTCTGTCATTTGACTTTGGCCCACACTGTGATGGTGTGTTAAATGTGGGGTGAGCTGCTCTTGGAATGTGATGCAGCAGTTCTAGGGAAGCTTCAGCTCCTGCTGAATTTCACAGTGTAAACATACCAGTTAGGGTATGTGTACTGGCTTCTGTAATAGCCCCTTAGTACTTGTCCAGACAACAACTTCCCACCTGACTGATCATCCTACAGTGCACTACAGTGGGGAGACACTGGAAGAAGAGATGGTGTCCACTAGCATAAATTGTTATTTTTGAACCATATTCCTGTTAACCATAGCTGGAGCAGCAATTAGGAAGAGTGAGGCAGCTGCCTCAAGCAGAAAATGCTGTAGGGCATGCAGTGTCAATGAAGTGTTGTGGGGCAGAATGGTGTGTGCCCTGCAGCTTGCCCTGCACCCCCTAAGCTAGTGGCCTGACCTTAGGTGCGGTGCAGGATGCTGCCCTGCCACCAACATTGAGGTAAGATCCATCTCTTAGTCCAGCCAGCCTCTGTATGTGAAAGGGGGAAGGCACCAACCACCTTATTCTCTGCCTCAGGTGGCAAAAAGTCTTAGGCCAGCCCTGCTGTTAGCCTGACTCCTGCTCTGCTATTTGGCCTAGTGTGGAATGGATCAGTACAGTCCTTATATGACTTCAAAGTGGTCAGTCAGGACTGACCCTCCACACTCCCTTCTCGTAAAAGCAGC